TTAGCTGGGCATGGTGGCGCGTGCCTGTAATCCCAGCTACTCAGGAGGCTGAGGCAGGAGAATTGCCTGAACCCAGGAGGCGGAGGTTGTGGTGAGCCGAGATCGTGCCATTGCACTCCCACCTGGGTAACAAGAGCGAAACTCCGTCTCAAAAAAAAAAAAAAAAAAAAGTTTACCCAATCTCACATATTTCTTTATAGCAATGCAAGAACAGCCTAATACAGCAAGTGTTACTCAGATATTACAAGAGTTCTGGGAGCAGCTCCTTCGGGACGCTGGTGGGCCCCTCTTCCTGGGGTTGACTTGTAAAAGGAAGGCTGGTAGGATGAACTACAGCCCCCCTTGCAGCTGCAGCTGGTCTTGAGGCTATAGCTGATATTCATCCCCCCGCCCCGCCCCCCACTTCTCTGCTGTTCATTCTAGATTCTCCTCAACATCAATGAGTCCCTGTGAAGGTTTAGGTGACTTTCCTAGTGGGGTGACTCAGACTGTCAAAATGGAGGCATTCCGGTTCCTGTTGGCCATACCTTCCCAGGCTGTAGCTGCTGCACTTGTCCATTTGCCATCAAAATTGTGCAAGGTGGTACTAACCGATGTCCAGGTGGATGATCTGTGTATCAGACATCTGCTTCCTGCCTCCATTGTGTAACAACAGCTGGACTGCCTCTTGATGGTAAGAGTCAATCACCCCAACCAGGAATCCTTTCCTTGCCTGCTGGTCCTTGGCCTAAAGTGCCTGGATAATCATGTAACTTAAAGTTCACTGAAGACTCTTGCTGTGTTCCCTGGTGGAAATGTTTCCCCTTTGGGAACCAAGACCTTTGACCCTGTGTGCTGCATTTGTGGGGATGAAAACACAAATTCTTCAAGTGGGCCACGGGGACTGCTAGCAAGTGGGGACACAGCTGCTCCCACACCATGGATTCCTAGCCCAGGTATTCTCTTGGGGATACAGCACTATATAATGGTGATTGACGTGGGGCATTACTGCATCCTGGAGTTTAGTACTTTAAAAAGAATTAAAAAAAAATTTACTGTAAGTTCTGGGATACATGTGCAGAATTTGCAGGTTTGTTATATAGGTAAACATGTGCCATGGTGGTTTGCTGCACCTGTCAACCTGTCATCTAGGTTTTAAGCCCTGAATGCATTAGATATTTGTCCTAATACTCTCCCTCCCTTTGCCCCCGACACCCCGACAAGCCCCCTCCCTGTGTCAATGTGTTCTCATTGTTCAACTCCCACTTATGAGTGAGAACGTGTGGTGTTTGGTTTTCTGTTCCTGTGTTAGTTTGCTGAGAATGATGGCTTCTAGCTTCATTCATGTCCCTGCAAAGGACATGAACTCATTTTTTATGGCTGCATATTATTCCATCCATGCTGTATGTGTGCCACATTTTCTTCATCCATTGTTTATCATTGATGGGCATTTGGGTTGGTTCCAAGTCTTTTTTATTGTAAATAGTCCTGCGGTAAACATAAGTCTGTATGTGTCTTTACAGTAGAATGATTTATAATCCTTTGGGTGTACACCCAGTTAATGGGATTGCTGAGTCAAATCTAGATCCTTGAGGAATTGCCACACTTGTCTTCCACAGTGGTTCAACTAATTTACACTCCCACCAACAGTGAAAAAGCATTCCAAGGGTGGTGCTTTATTCTCACAGGGTATCACTTCCAAGCTGGCACTTTAGCCAACTTTTCAATAGGCTGTTCCATTGCTTATGAGGCCAGTAGCTTGGGTGGTGTGCCATATGATAGGTCCAGTGGATTCCATGGTTATGTGCCCATCACTATATGTCTCTTGCTGTAAAGTAGGTCCTTTGGTCTGCTGCAGTGATATGTGGAATGCCACACTGGTAGATTAAATACAGCATAAGCCCTTGGATGGTCATGTCAGATGAGACTCTACAGGCAGAAAAGGCAAACCCATACACAGAATACCTGCCTATTCCTGTGAAAATGAATAGCTGCCCCTTTCATTATGGAAAAAGTTCAATATGGTCAACCTGCCATTAAGTGGCTGGCTGGTATCTTCAAGAGATATTGTTGTATTGGGTTTCAGCAATGGTTTCTACTGGTGTCACGGTGATTATTTGGCTGTGACACTAGCTAGATTAACATTGGTAAGTGGGACATCATGTGGTTGGGCCCATGGATAGCCTCCTTCTTTGCTTCCATGTCTCCTCTGTTTATGAATCCATTGTGTCAGGACTAGGGTGGCTGATGAAAAAGCTGGCTGACATCAACTGACTGAGTCATTCCAGTTGGTTATTTACCGCCTCTTCAATGGTAGATGCCCTTGGGACCTATGGGGAAGAAGATGGAAGCAAAATTGACAGAAAGAGAAAGTAGGCTATAGTACAGTCACAGCCAGGCCTCAGCCAACACTGTGGGGAGTTCTAAAGCTGGAAGGACTCTTCAGAGATGTTCCTTGAGAAGGTGAGAAAGTCTTTTTTTTTTGAGATGGAGTCTTGCTCTGTCGCCCAGGCTGGAGTGCAGTGGCACGATCTTGGCTCCCTGCAACCTCTGCCTCCTGGGTTCAAGTGATTCTCCTGCCTCAGTCTCCTGAGTAGCTGGGATTACAGGCGTGAGCCACTACACCCAGGTAATTTTTCGTATTTTTAGTAGAGATGGGGTTGCACCATGTTGGCCAGGCTGGCCTTGAACCCTTGGAATCAGTTGATCCCCCCACCTTGGCCTCCCAAAGTGCTGGCATTACAGGCATGAGCCACCGTGGATCAGGTCTTAACAGTCCCACATTGGCCAGGTGTGGTGGCTCACGCCTATAATCCCAGCACTTTGGGAGGCCGAGGCGGGTAGATCACAAGGTCAAGAGATCGAGACCATCCTGGTCAACATGGTGAAACCCCGTCTCTACTAAAAATACAAAAATTAGCTGGGCATGGTGGCACGCGCCTCTAGTCCCAGCTACTCGGGAGACTGAGGCAGGAGAATTGCTTGAACCCAGGAGGCGGAGGTTGTGGTGAGCTGAGATCCTGCCATTGCACTCCAGCCTGGGTAACAACAGCGAAACTCTGTCTCAAAAAACAAACAAACAAACAAAAAAACAGTCCCACATTGAACAGTCATTTGTTACAGGCTGCCTCTAGAAGGTGGCTGGACCTTGAAAAAGGCAGTTTTCTTTAGCAAGACAATCACTGAAGAAGGCTGTCAGCATACAAGCTTCCCAAAAGCTGGAGGAATAAATCCTTCAGTCTTAAAGGAGAGATGCAGCATAACATTTATGAAAGGAAACATTACTATTTTAATTACCAAGTACACCCAGAGCTTATTACAGTGCCTAGTACCTGGCAGGCATTCAAAAGATTTTTATGAATAAATTACTGAAATATCCTGCTTTCTTAGTTTCAAATATAAAGAGCACATCTCATCCCACCTTATAATATTTTGCTATGAAAATTTCAAGGTTTAGCCAGGCGTGGTGGCTCATGTCTGTAATCCCAGCACTTTGGGAGGCCAACGCGGATGGATCACTTGAGGTCAGGAGATCAAGACCAGCCTGACCGACATGGCGAAACCCTGTCTCTACTAAAAATACAAAAATTCACAAGGCATGATGGCACGCATCTGTAGTCCTAGCTATTGGGAAGACTGAGGCATGACAGACTCTTGAACCTCAGAGTTGGAGGTTGCAGTGAGCCAAGATCATGCCACTGCAGTCCAACCTCGGCAAGAGTAAGACTCAAAAAAAAAAAAAAAAGAAAATTTCAAAGTTTAAATCAGCATATAAAGAATAGATCTTAGATATAACAATTGGAAACATTTTGCCATATTTTCTCTTTCTTTATGGACATGGATATGTACAGTGTTAATTTTTTGTGTGAACCATATGTAGACCTCATTATACTCTGTCCTTAATTATTCTGGTATACAGCTCACAAAAATAGGGACATTCTTTCTTTCTTTTTTTTTTTTTTTTGGAGACGGGGTCTTGCTGTTTCCCAGGCTGGAGTGCAGTAGTGCGATCAGCGCTCACTGCGGCTTTGACCTCCTGGACTCAAGCAATCCTCCCACCACAGCCTCCCAAGGAGCTGGGACCACAGCCATGTGCCATCTTACCTGGATAATTTTTGGTTTTCGCCATGTTGCCCATGGTGGTCTCTGACTCCTGAGCTCAAACAATCCTCCTGCCTCAGCCTCCTAAAGGGCTGGGATTCCAGGCATAAGCCATCATGCCCAGCCAGGATATTTATAATATTACTATTACCACATCTAAAAAAATAACAGTAGACTGGATGCTTATGCCTGTAACCCCAACACTTTGGGAGGCTGAGGCGGGCAGATCACAAGGTCAAGAGATTGAGAGCATACTGGTCAATATGGTGAAACCCCATTTCTACTAAAAATACAAAAATTAGCTGGGTGTGGTACGTGGTGGTGTGTGCCTACAGTTCCAACTACTCGAGAGGCTGAGGCAGGAGGCTGAACCCGGGATATGGAGGTTGCAGTGAGTCAAGAAAGCGCCCCTGCACTCCAGCCTGGCAGCCTAGCGAGACTCTGTCTCACAAAAAAACAAAAACAAAAATCAAAAACACCGGGGGCCACCGTGACTCCGGCCAGTTGTCCTGGCACTTGAGGAGGCGAGGCCATGAGTTCAAGGCCAACCTGAGCAACGTTACATGCTCTCATTGATTGACAAAAAAAAAAAAAAATCAAAAACACCAGTAATCCCCTAATACTATCTAATATCCAGTCCATATTAAATTTCTGATTCTCTACAAAATATCATTTATAGCTTAAAAAAATTGGAACCAAGGGTCTGGGCATGGTGACTCACATCTGTAATCTCAGTACTTTAGGAGGCCAAGGCGGGAGGATCTCTTGAGGCGTTTGAGGCTGCAGTGGGCCATGATGGTGCCATTGCACTCCAGCCTGGGTGACAGAGATGCCATCTCTTAACAAATAAAATTGGAACCAGGATTCTATCCAAGGTTCATACACTGTATTTAAATATCATGTTTCTTTAGTCTCTTATTTTTTAAAAAATTTTTTTACAAAAACAATTTATTTCTGTAAACTGTTTGAGTGCAGAGATGTTCTTCACAATCCCAACACAGTACAAATTTCTTCCCCAAACCAAAATGAGCAAGGGAAAAGAGAAAAAGAGCTATATAAAACGTGCTTATGAAGACCCAAGCCAATCTCATCTTTCTTAAAAACAAAGCAAATTGATCCTTTTGAATGTGTGGTGCAGGTCTAGGGTTGAAGCCGCAGGCTTTCAGGGTACTATGACCCCAGGGCTTTGCTCAGCTCACAGCTAGCACGCAATGGGAGCAGCCCTCCGGCCCAAGCCATCCTCGAAGCTTGCACAGAAGTTTCCTGAACCTAAGGGATCCATTCCCAGCTCTCCTTAAATTTCCAGTCCTCACCCTGGGACTCTCTCCCTAACGTCCTCATTGCTTTGGGGGCCCTTGAAGTAAACCTGAAATACTCTCTCTGTTAACTCTGGGCTCAGATCTTTGCCCTTCTCTGTGTCACAAGGAAATTTTGGTCAAGAGTGTGGGAACTGGTGGTTTCAGGTCATGCAGCAAAGCTACTGCCAGGCAAGTTTTAAGGCAAATTTTATCTCTTCTTATGCAGTCTGAGCCAGATCTAACCTCACCATGAAGCAATCCTGCCTCTGCTGACATGCAGATTAGGCTACTGGATGGAGGCGGGATGAGGGAGCCTGGGGCAGATTCCAGGTTTGGGCCTGACTACGGAATGGATGAGTGTGCTTATGAAGGCTGCAGGCACCAGGCGCAGCTCCTGGCCCAGCTGCCCCTCAGTTGGTATACAGGAAACGGGGCCCAAGAAAACTGAGATGGCAAAACATGCCCCGGGCTCAGAAAGCAACGTGAGGTCATGCAGATCCCACTAGGAACACCTTGTTGCATGTAAGAGAAATGCCAGGAAAAGGGGTCACTGCAGGAGGCACCTCCAGGACCTTGCATCAGAATGATTTTTCTTTAGAACAAAAAAGAAGAGGAGAAAAGAAAAAGAAGAACAAAGAAAGAGGTTCCATGAGCATCACAAGATAGGACACAGCAGGGTTGTAAGGGAAGCAGGAAGGTGGGGGCTGCTGACACAGGGTGGCGGGCGCTGCCTCTCATGGCTTCTTTTCTCCCTCGTGGGCTGGTGGGCTAGTAGCTGAGGCCAGCGGTCCCCTCCCCCTGGGGAGCAGGCAGATGACTTTGACAAGGGGCGGCGGGGGAGGGGGCGGTGGTGGTGGTCTGGGGTTACTCCGTCTGAGCCTCGTAGTTTGCTCCGCCCACCTTCTTCAGCTCTCTCTTGATGAAATAAATCTTCCTCCAGCTCCTTCCGATCACTGATCACAAACTTCTTAGGAAAATTCTATACGACCTCCTTCACCAGGGTCTTGTCCATCCCAATTCTGGCGCACTGCAGCCCGCTGATACTCTCACTGAGCCATGTGATGAGGGCGAACTTGGACCTCTTGCTCATGGCATGCCAGGTGGTGAAGCGCACGAAGGCAAGCAACTGGTCGGCATCTGTGCACTGCTGGATGAAGTGCTGGTACTACGCTCCCTGCTCGCCGGGGACAATGGTGGAGCCGTCATATTCAAAAGTCACCCAGATAACTGCCGAGCTGCTGTCGCGCACGGGTTGTACTCTGTAGATCTTGGTGGTCATCGCCGCGAGGCCGCGGCAGGAACACTGCCTGGGGCGGCTGGCGGGGACGCGCCATGGTGGGCAGCTGCGGCGACGGCGACGCGGGGCCTGCAAGCTCAGAGCGCAGCGGCAGCTCCCACCTCTTTAGGCTCTTTAAATCTAAAACAGTCTTCCTCTTTTTTTCCTCCCACATTTTTTTTTTAATTCTAATTTTTTAAGATGGAGTTGTGCTCATGTTGCCCAGGCTGGGGTGCAATGGCGCCATCTCGTCTCACTGCAACCTCCGCCTCCTGGGTTCAAGTGATTCTACTGCCTCAGCCTCCCAAGTAGCTGGATTTACAGGTGCCCACCACCACACCTGGCTAATTTTTAAAAACATTTTTAGTAGAGACGGGGTTTCACCATGTTGGCTAGGCTGGTTTCAAACTCCTGACCTCAAGTAATTTGCCCATCTTGGCCTCCAAAAGTGTTAGGATTACAGGCATGAGCCGCCAATGCCTGGCCTTCGCCCTAAATTTAACGTTTTGAAGAAACCAAGGCTAGAAGGGTTGTTGTCCACCATCGCGTTATTTCTCTGGTTGTTTCCTCATAGTGTCATCGAGTTTGTCCCAGGTAACTTCAACTTTAATATTCCAAATGAGTGAGTCAAGCCCCATCTGAGAATATTCTTACTACCTCCATTGTCATCCTGGAGTCACTCTAAGAAGTCTTCAAGATGCATATTAACATTCAGAAGATCAGCCTTGCTTCGTAGTCAATTGTGGTCAGAACTTCTATGTCTCACTAAAGACTACATATCTCCCACTAGAAGATGGCCTCCTAACAAGCCACAGTGCTACCACAGCTAAATGCAGGTGGAACGAGGACGATTGCTGATGAATAAAAATTATACATTTCATTGTCAGCTGATGTGGACCACGAAGAAATTCTATAATTAAGAAGCTCTCCTGGGCTGGGTGCAGTGGCTCACGCCTATAATCCCAGCATTTATGGATGGTGAGGCGGGAGGATCACTTGCATTAAGGAGTTCACTACCAGCCTGGGCAAAACAGTGAGATCCTGTGTCTACAAACAATAAACAAAAGTAGCCAGGTGTGGTGGTGTGCATCTGTAGTCCTACTTGGGAAGCTGAAGTGGGAAGACTGCTTAAGCCCAGGAGGTGGAGGTTGCAGTGGGCTGAGTTCATGACATGGCACTCTAGCCTGGGTGACAGAGCGAGACCCTGTGTCAAAACACACACACACAGACACACAGACACACACACACACACACACACACACACACCAAGCTATTTTGCCTGCTAAAGGACAAGGAAACAATTTTATTAATTTTTAAGTTTTTAATTTAATTTTTGAGATGGAGTCTTACTCTGTTGCCCAGGCTGGAGTACAATGGACTCACTGCAAACTCTGCTTCCCAGGTTCAAGCAATTCTCCCACCTCAGCCTCCTGAGTACCTGGGATTACAGGTGCCCGTCACCATGCCCAGCTAATTTTTGTATTTTTAGTAGGGACAGGGTTTCACCAAGTTGGCCAGGCTGGTATCAAACTCCTGACCTCAAGTGATCTGCCTGTCTTGGCCTCCCATTATTGGTGTGAGCCACTGTGCCCAGACAAATCTTGCAATATTTTATTAGGTTCTTGACAGGTACTTTTCCCAGCATAATCATGCATTAGCATTAAGAGGAGTGCTTTTCCCCTTCTATATGCAGGAGGTGAAGCTAGTTTCTATCTTAAAGTGTTACCTGTAAATTGAATTATTTTTGCCCTGTAGGAAAAGTTTAGAGTACTCTAAATTAATCTTTGGGGCCAGGTGTGGTGGCTCACACCTATAATCCTAGCACGTTGGGAGGCCAAGGTAGGCAGACTACTTGAGCTCAGGAGTTTGAGACCAGCCTGGAGAACATGGCAAACCTTGTCTCTACAGAAAATACAAATTAGCCCAGCCTGGTGGCACTTACTTGTGGTCCCAACTACTCCAGATGCTGAGGTGGGAAGATCACTTTAGCCCATGGAGGTTAAAGCTGCAGTGAGTTATGATCATGCCATGTACAGCTTGAGTGACAGAGCAAGACCCTGTCTCAAAAAAAAATCATCATCTTCTTTGGAATAAGTAATTTTGCTATTTTTAGATAATAATCATAAAAAGCTTTTGAGGCTGGATAAAAAGGTTAAAAAAATCACCTCATGTTAGTCCAGGCCAGTTTTATTCTTATTTATTTATAGGGACATGGTCTTGCTATGTTGCACAGGCTGGTCTCCAACTTCTGGGCTCAAGTGATCCACCTGCCTTGGCCTCCCAAAGTGTTGGGATTACGGGCATGAGCCACTGCACCTGGCCTATGCCAATTTTAGATGCAGATCCTATGAATTGCCTGATAGAAAGTTATTCAATACGATAAATAACACCAATACCAGTAAATGTGTCATTCTTTCAAGTATATTAAAATTAACCTAATTAGGTTTTCTTCATCCTAGAGGTAAATGAAGTCATCAAGGCATCAATATAGGGTTACTTGTTTTTTTTAGACAGAATCTCACTCTGTCACTCAGGCTGGAGTGCAGTGGTGCAATCTTAGCTCACTACAACCTCTGCCTCCTGGCTTCAAGTGATTTTTGTGCCTCAGCCTCCTGAGTAGCTGGGATTATAGGCATGCACCACCACAGCTGGCTAATTTTTGTATTTTTAGTAGAGACAGGGTTTCACCAAGTTGGTCAAGCTGGTATTGAACTCTTAGCCTCAAGTCTGCCTGCCTTGGCCTCCCGAACTGCTGGGATTACAGGTGTGAGCCACTGCACCTACCTATTTGTTTTTTTTACTAAACAAATAGTACTGTTTCATGCCTCACTACCTTTGAACACACTGCTCTCTCCTGGAATGTTTTTTCCTCTCTTCTTACCTACTTCCTGTCCTCCAAATTGGCCTTCCCACGAAGTTTCTCCCTGACTCCCTGATTTGTGTTCCCTGGTTTGAATTCACTTAGCACCTTGTATCATGATATTTTTCATCCTGTACTGGAATAATGAACCAGACTACACATTCCTTGTCAGCAACCATGTCTCATTCAGCTTTTATCTTCCAAGATGCTCCAAGTATGGCATCTGACGCATAAGTAGTGAGCGCTCAGGACATATTTGATGACTCATACCCCATGCCCTCATTTTTCTCTCAAACATGTTTTACAGAAGTTCTTTTGATCAGGTTGTATCCAAAAGAAACTGATTACAGTTTCTTTGAGCTAAACAGGCCTCTTCTAGTAAATTCACTGAACTGCCACTACTTTGGGCAAGCCACTTCATTCAGTGCCTATTAAGGGTCTATCACATCCCAGGCACTGTTCTAAACCCAGCAGAGTCCTGTTTCAAAGAGCTTATAATCTAGGGGAGAAGATAGCAATAGATAATTCACCTCTTAGAGGAAATGTGCAGTCTTTTTCTGGACAATGTGAGGTGTATCAGAATGTATATAGTATTCTGGATATCAGGGAGGAAGTTGCAGCTGACATTGTCTGAATGAACTTCAATTGCTAAAAAAAATCAGGGAAGGCGGGGCGCGGTGGCTCACGCCTGTAATCCCAGCACTTTGTGAGGCCGAGGCGGGTGGATCACGAGGTCAAGAGATCGAGACCATCCTGGTCAACATGGTGAAACCCCGTCTCTACTAAAAATACAAAAAATTAGCTGGGCACGGTGGCACGTGCCTGTAATCCCAGCTACTCGGGAGGCTGAGGCAGGAGAATTGCCTGAACCCAGGAGGCGGAGGTTGCAGTGAGCTGAGATCGCGCCATTGCACTCCAGCCTGGGTAACAAGAGCGAAACTCCGTCTCAAAAAAAAAAAAAAAAAAAAAAAAAAATCAGGGAAGAGGATGCAGGGAAGCCAAGAGTAGACAGTATTTGACCTGGATTTTGAAAGATGAGTAGGAAACTGATGTGTACTTTGGCGACTGTTAAAGAAAACCAGAGCCAAGCAGTAGTTGAAGTGATAAAAACATTTTATTCAGGAACTAGTGCAACAGCGGGGAGACCTCAGAATAGATACAGAACTGAACTCAATTCTCTTACTGCATTAGTTTCTTAATAACATCCTTTACCATTTTACCTACTGCCTGGCTCTGGTTTTCTTTAAGTAGGGGAGGTGGTGATGCAGAACATTTTAGATAGAGACAAAAGAATGAGCAAAGCCAAAGGGAGTAAAGAAACTTAGGGAAAAAGTAAATAATCCATAGAAAGTTGGATAGTCAAGGGAAACAGAACTTTTTCGTAGTCAGAGCCTCGAGCAATGTTGGGGAAGTGGCAAGAGATGGGCTTTTTAAAGACAGTAGGGCTTTAAAAAATTTTTATTTAAATTAAAAAATATATATTTTGCGTTTTAGGTTTTGGGGTACATGTGAAGAACATGCAGGATTGTTGCATAGGTACATACATGGCAATGTGGTTTGCTGTCTTCCTCCTCATCACCTATATCTGGCATTTCTCCCCATGTTATCCCTCCCCAACTCCCCACCCTCCGCTGTCCTTCTCCTAGTTACCCCCACAGACCTCAGTGTGAACTCCAGTTACCAAAAGTCAAGTTGTTTGGTGCTATTTAGAAAATGAAATGCTTTTCTGTTTATTCCTAGAAGCTCAAATGGGAAAGGTACGTTTGAGCAAGAGTGCCTAGAATGCTATGCCAGCAAGTTTGGATTTTATCCTGCAGCGCCAACTGGGAGTTCTCCGAGAGCTGTACGGTATTTTATAAAGGTGACTATGATATTAATAGGTGATAGGCTGGAGCGGCTTGTAGCAGTCCGACTCCCAGCCTCAGTTTACTCACTGATAACAGGAATCGGGTTGGATCAGATGCCCTCTTGGGTCCCTTCCAACCTCGATGACCTGCTTCTGAGGTACCTCTGCCCTTCTTCCAATACCAGGACCTGTGTCTCATCTCCTCCTCCTTCTTAACTTTGTCCAGCTGCCACCTTTCCTAGCCCCTGGCCTGCCTTAAGTGCTTTCAATCACCAGGTGGGGGCAGGGGAGGGAGAGGCGCGTCTTCAGGTGAAACAAACGCGTCTCCGCTCCGCGGTCTTCAGCCCCAGGCAGCACCACTTGGGTGGTGCCCGGGGCCAGGTGCGCCCTAG